TTAAGGTATGATACATGGATGATTTTGATAGGTTGAAATTGTTTTTGGTTGTTGAATTAATTAATTAGCTTGTTGGGTTATTTAATTAGATGTATGTGTGTATATAATAATAATAGAAACGAGGGATAGAGTTGAGAGAAAAAGAGTTGAGGGGTGGTTAGGTTAAATAGGGGTGGTAAGAAATTTTTTTGTAACTTTGGACTCTTTAAGGTTACAATCCACTTAATATCCAAAAAAACCTACAATATTGGAAAGTAAATAACAAAAATCCCCTATAGTCATTTTTTTATTATTATAAAAGTTTTTTGGGTTATTTAACAAATTTACTCAGATTATAATCGCATATGGCAAGACACATTACTTTTATCCTACATCCATTTGGATAAATAGTTATATAGAAATTTTGAGAAATGAAATATTTTTAAAATGTCACATTTTCAAAAATTTTGCAAAAATTATACTTTTTCAAAATTATTTACTCATTATATCATTTATGTTTGAGTTAATTATGTTGTATTAGTGTTTAATTTTGAGGTTTAAGGGTTTTTAGGGGTCAAAACATTTTCTAAGGCTCAAAATTTTAAGTTTTAGGCTTTAAAAAATCATAATTAGTAACATTTTTGTAAATTGACAACCTATAATGACATTTTTGCAAATGTACACTCCAAAAATAATATTTTTGTAATTATCCCATATTTATAAGTACTTTATTTAATTTTGCTTCACCAATGGACTGATTCCATGCAAAAACGATTCACTAAATCTGAAACCTCACAAGAAATGGTCTTTCATTGAATGTAATTAAATATACTCAGATTATAATATAAAAGAATTTAATTAATCTTCTGTAATCTTAAAAATTTAAATGTCAAAAATAGACAATTAAGAAAAAGAGTTAAAATTAGGTTTATTTTTAAAAGTACATCATTTCGTTTTTCAGAGTTCAGATTTACTTATAAACAATTTTAAATTTTTGTTAATAGGCTTTCATTAAATTAAAATATTTGACATTACAATTTTAAAACTTTTTAAATAATATTAACTATGTTTCTACAAGATAATTAACTTATTTGGTAATTTGGTATAAAATATGGTATATTTCGAAATAATCCCAAAAATATGAAGCCTAAATATTGGTTCAAGTATAAATGTCTATCTTTAAGTCTGTGTTTGGGTTTAATCAAAATATTTTCTTTTTATAATTTTATGTTGGGGCAATTACAAAAATGCCACTTTTTATGTGCATATTTGCAAGAATGCTACTTAGGGGTGTCCATTTACAAAAATGCCACTAATTATAGATTTATAAAGCCTATTCTAAACTCTAAAAAATATTTTGACACCTAAAACCCTCTAAACACTCAAAACTAAACCT